ACGTTTACTACATTCTCCTGATTGGAGCACAATTTTAGCGAAGATTGCCCTATGCTCTCAACTGAATACTGTATTTTGGAGCAAGTAGAAAATAATTCTGTACAACTCCATCGGGTGATAATCAAAAACATTTAAAAAAATAAACATGTCCGGAGGTTACCTTGAGATGGTTCAGCAACTCCTTCTGTAGCACACAAAATGCTTGTTCACACAGTGAGTCACAAGTGGGTGTTATCGTTGTCAAGTGGCAACCGTTCTCTGAAACGTATGTTAGCGAAGTGTAAATCCAACAAAGATTTGAATTTCTGCACAGATTCGGCCTCGACGACGTGTTCTGGCAGACTGTTCCAGGCGTGCACAACCCTCCGCTCGAAACACAGGGGGTGTGGGATTTTCTTCAGATCAGGTACCACGAGTTTGTACCTGTGCCCACGTGTGGTGCATGGTACTCGCAAGTGGAGTAACGACCTCAGCATGGGGAAATGACCGAGATGTAAAATACGGTAGGTCATGATAAGATCCACTCGAACACGGCGATATGACAAGGTGTAGAGCCCAAGTTTCATGCACCGGTTTTCATACGATAAGCCTCTCAAGCTGGGGATCAACTTGGTGGCGACGTGTTGTACTCGTTCGATCTTTTGCGCTTCGCCGCGAGTGATCGGACAGTATGCAGGCGAGCCGTACTCTAGCATTGGTCTGACGATGGAAGAGAAGAGGCGAGTGGCGACTTCCTCAGACCAAGTGCAGAAGCTGCGTTTCAGCGCCCAGAGCATGCGCAGTCCGTTTCGATACAGTTTGTTGGTGTTGTCGACGGACTTCAAGTCGCAGCGTGAGAGTACACCTAGGTCTTTCACGGAAGGTGTGGGATGCAGTGGTTGGCCGTCTAGGGTGTACGTTCGGCCGTGAACAGCCTTCCCGAGATTCATGAATAGGGACTTTGCCGGGTTGACCGGTAGGTGGACTTCAGCAGACCATACTGCGAGGCGGTCGAGGTCTTGTTGGAGAATGTCACAGTCATCGAGAGTATTAATTTCTCGCCAAATTTTGAGGTCATCCGCAAACAGTGCACACGGCGACCGTAGAAGCTGGGGCAGCTCGTTGATATGGATGAGAAACAGAGTGGGTCCCAGTACCGTACCTTGAGGTACACCACTGGTCGAGGGATACCAATCGGTTAGATGGCCGTCCACCTGTACCCTCCACTTTCTTCCAACGAGAAATTCATGGATCCATCGATGTAACGATCCTCCGACACCACACGACCTTAATCTGTCTAGAAGCACTTCATGATTAACTTTGTCGAATGCTTTGCTGAAGTCGATGTAGATTACGTCGACGGACTTTCCCCGGTTGAGTGCTTGCAACCATTCCTGTCTCGTCACAAGTAAGTTGGTAACACAAGAATATCCCATCCTGAATCCGTGTTGTGCCGGTGTCAGAAGTTCTTTCGATTGCAACAGATGTATTAGACGCTTTTTTACTATCTTCTCGATCACTTTGGCCAAAACGGGTGTAAGACAAATTGGCCTGTAGTTATCCACCTTACTGGGGTCGCCACCTTTCGGGATAGGCCTCACCACCGAGCGCTTCCAGTCGTTTGGCAATGAGCCCTCAGACAATGATTTGTTGAATAGATCCGTAACAGCAAGCGAGATAATGGCAGCTAGTGATGTGATAATTAGCGGATGAAGCCCGTCAGGCCCTGCAGGCTTGGTACCGTCAAGGTTCGCAAGTAGCAGGCGCACCTCGTCGACATCACAAACCAAACTGTTGAGTTCTACAGGAATGTTACTCGCTGAGATGGGTATGGACGCCGCGTCGTTTGCAAACACGGAAGCGAAGTGAGCGGCCAGTGCGGACGCGCGATCGGAACTGGAAGTTAGCAGGTGTCCGTCCGCGTCTTCCAGACTTGACACGTCACCTTTTGGCTTCAAACGGCGTTTCACCTAAGCAAAAACCTTCTTTGGGGCCATCCTCGCGTCAGTTGCAAGATTTTCTTCGAAAGTCCGGCGCTTTATCAATTTCACTTTGTTGCACATATTTCGCTGTCTTTTATATGCTTCGTAATCAGTGGCGGAGCCAGAGAGGCGAAATGCGTCCCACATTCTTCGCCGTAACCGAGCCAGCCTACCATATTCCTTGTCGAACCAGTGTGGTTTGATTGGTCCGACTTTCTGAAATTTCAACGGCACAAACTGAGAACAAAGCGAAGCCAATCCTTCCTTTATTACTGTCTAACCGTCCTCCACAGATGTAACATGCGGTAGAGACCAGTCCATTTGGCTCGCTGCTCGATTTAATCCATCGAAATCAGTTTTCCAGTAGTTGTAAGCTGGTTCCACCGGAGATACACTCGGCAAGTTCAGTTCCATAGTGGCTATCAGCACGGAATGGTCGCTTTTAGCTAGGGGCTCCTGGATTCGTATGTCATGCAACCGCTGTTCGCAATTCGTCACCATCAAATCAAGGCACGATGGGTTCGAACGCGCCGTCATGCGCGTAGGTTGGTATATGTGTTGCGATGCCCCAGTTTCAAGCAACAAATCAACAAACTTTGATTCGACTTCAGGATACCCGGGCATGAGTTGGATTTCAGGCCATTGAATGTGGGGACAATTGAAGTCACCCAAGAGTAGAAAACATGGACGACTCATGTTGTTCCGAAGATGCGTTAGCCAATCTAAAGAGCGGTTCAGAGGGCTACGGTAGAATGCACCTACTGTCAGCTTGCCGCGCCTGAGGTTGATCGAGCACCATACCTGTTCACACAGTCCATCTCCACTTCGGTACACGCTTACAAGCCTCCCACGCAGGGAAGACCGTATATAAAGTAAGACACCACCACGAGGATTTGATATTCTATCGCAGCGAAAGCATGAGTAGCCACTGAGATCGACTTCCTCTGCCATTACCTCAGAAGTTAGCCATGTCTCCGCCAGTGCTACGACGTCTGGTCGCTCAGAGGCAAAGAAGCGACACAGCTCATCCCGTTTGTTCATAAGGCTACAGATGTTTGTGAATGCAGCACGGAGGTCCTGAGAGGCACCGCGGGACGTGCCTGGAGGTTGATCAACCGACTGATACAGGTTCGTACACCCTTCTTGATCACTCGAAAATTTACGATGTATAGATCAGTTTCGCCTTCTTCTGTACGGCGTTTAAGCTCAAGGACCGCAGTCTTCAAGCGGTTCCTCTCTTCGGGTTCCAAGTCTCGGCGGATGTGAACCCTGGTGCCTTTAAGCCTGGAGAGACGAGACAGAATGAGTTGTGGCGTGTTGTGGTCAGCAAAGGTGATTCTTAAAGGTCGACATGATTGGTTAGTATGCTGACCAAGTCGGACTACTTGTTTAATCGTTACGCTGCCTTCACCCACATCCAACAGTTTATCAACGAGCCCCTGAAGGAACTCAACATCGTGATCATAACGTTTCTGAGGGTTTTCATCTTTCGACTCTGGTGCATGGAACACCATGAGATTATAACGCCTCAGGGAGATCGGTGACGAACTTGAAGCAGCAGGAGTGGAGGGGCTTGTCGTTTTGGACGGTCGTCTATCGTTAGGGGGAGGCTGAAAGTTGTTGCGTGAACTTTTGCGTTTTTGAATGATCCATTTATCTTCAGTGTTCAGAGGTTCACAGGTATGCGCTGAAAGATTAGGGGGCTCCGACTCTGAGTCGTCAATCTGTGGGGAACATTGGTTGTGAGAATCGGTAGGGGTAGAAGACGCTGGCGGTGGTGCAGATCGTGGAGTTGCAGGGGAAGGGGAGTTCACAGAGGTACTCTCACGAGCGCGTTTGACCCCACGAGCTGAATGAGGTGGTTTCGTCTGGGAGATGGCTTTTCCCGGAGCCGGTGGTGGTCTCCGTGCATTTTGTTGTAGTAAACCGCGGCATTTATCACACACAACTTGGAAAAATCTATGTCGGATGTCAACAGATTTTCGGAAAACTTCCACGGACAGGCCGATACACGAAATATGAAACAGAACATCACAGCCGAAACAACGAAGTGCATGGGCCTTTTGTCCGACAACTTTCGAACATGAGCCACAAGTAGGTTGGCACGGCATCACACGTTGGAGCAAATCCAAGATGGCAGTCACAGACGGTAATTTGATTTATCAACAAGTTCTCCGAAACAAGTGAGAGAATGCTCACCAAATTTTCACAACTTGAAGACTACACCAAAAAGAAACTTTTTGGTACACAATTTACACAGATGAAACACAAATAACACAGTAATCCGGAAGCGGAAGTAGAATTCAGAAGCAACGCTCAGCAATCCGCGGCGTTCGTGGGTACAGCCATATGTTTAGATTTATTGCCACTGATCAGCAGTGACTGTGAAGCGTTATTCATATCCGATTGTAGCAGCGGTTGGAACATACTGATGTTTACAGCTTGGTATTCAGCAACGAAACCAGATGTGGCGATATGCGGTGGATCCAGTTGCCAGGACTCACGTCGGTAGAATGACTACAAATAAAAACTGTAAGAAAATGAGCTTGAATGCAAATAGGATACAAAGATATGTGCACAATTGGTCGGGATAGGATGACTGTTAGGAGCTAGGTGCAAGATTCAGATTAAACTCGCAGAGTAAGCGGATTTCCTCGCTCCACATGTGCGGCTTGCAGACTGTGTATAGTTGGTCGAAGCCCAAAGATGATCAGGGGTGTTGCGGTTACCGCTCATGTGTTTCCGATGCAACTGCTGGTTCAAGTTTTCCACCCATTCTGAATGTGTTCTCCAGATTAGCCGTCTCACTGACTAGGAGGATCACTATCTGACGCGCGGACGAATTCGATATTTTTTGGACTCCACTTTTCCCCACCCATACCTCTTCTACTCTACAACACCCCCATTTTCTCTTCCATTTTTCATTAGTTTGTTCGCTTTCATTATTTTTCCTGCTCAAATTTGTTGTAAATGACAGTGCAAACCATCCGCAATAGATTTCATGCATGTTGCTTCCTTACAACCACATTTGTTGTATAGGGACTTTGGAGACTTGCTATCGCTCCCCGCGGTCCGGCAGCTTGCGGAAAAGCACGGAAAAACTTCGGCTCAAATTCTCCTCCGGCACGCCATCCAGCGTGGCCTTTGTGTCATTCCAAAAAGCAGCAACACCCAAAGGATACGCGAGAATATAGCTGTAAGTCGCATTCAAACTGGTACACCTGCTGACGTGGAGTAATATGTGAATTGCCACTATTTCACTATGACTTCACTTTTCTCCAGGTCATCCTTCCCAGCGTTTTCCGTCAATCTCTACCTGTTTGACAAATACCCTCAGAAGTGAATCGTGCGGCTATAGAGTCACTGATTACTCACTTGTGTGACCAAAAGTGATTACCTAAAGTTAATGCGGATGAACAATCTCGATGGTTTAGACTTCGAACGCTATGAAGCCGTATGAGCTATCTGGCTGTGAACAGACTTCTTGCCTTGTGGCGAGTTCGGTGGTCCAGGAAACCTGTCTTAGCTTCCGTGTTGCTATACTCTGTTTCTTTGGGCGCCCTAGATTGGATTGTTACTACTCGAGAGCCGTGTTATCCCTACTTCGGTATCCGGCTCCCAACGGTTGGCGACATACTCTAATCGCCCCACAGTTTTGCAGGTTAGGTCTTTATGACTCAAGGCTCCTGGTAGCCGATCCTATTATTTGGCCTAGGTAACCTGGAAGTAACACACCCACACATCCAGGGGCCAAATGCTTCAACAATTCTCTACTCGTTCTGTTTGCTGCTAATACTAACCTCCGCTGACTTGCCGCCGGCCAAACTTGCTAAACCCCGATCTACATCCCCACCATACATTTGCTTCACTTCTATTCTATCGCTCCATTTTGGTTGCCCTCCTTTTTCGACTTCTCAACATCATGCCACTTTGGGCGAGCTTTTTCTCAGTACGGATTAGTAGCTTGGATCCGTAGGTGCACCATCCAGTCGTTATTGCTAGCTTTTTCTAGTGCCACGTTTCCAGTTCAACTTGGCTACCTTTAATGTTCGAACTCTGGTACAAATCGGATCGAACGCAGCCCTTACTCGCACTATAGAACCTGTTGGTATTGATATTGGATGTCTCACCGAGACCCGATTACAGGGATCTAGCACAACGATACGACTGGTTCCACGATCTGCGTGTTCCGCTGGTGTTCTCATGTGACGCTTATTTAGAAACCCTACTGCCGAGGTCGTTGCTCGTACCACAGCAATCACCAATCTGAATTCCATCTGTCTCCAGTCTCTTCAAAATTAGCCCAGAAATTTCCTCCTCGTTTTTACTGTTCACAAAAAGCGAATGAATGACTCCTCAACCTTCACTTCGTTTTCATCCATTTTTACACATCGCAACACCTCACTCATTTGATTTGTGTAGGAAATATCAGGAGTGCTATCACAAATTAAGTCGAAATATTTGCTTGCCTTTCTAACCTGCTTCGCTAAAATATTCACAAACTCATTTTGAACTTCAGGAGACAAATAGGAAGTATTAATTTTCGTCCCCGTTGAATTGTCACTAAATGTTCACGAAGGACAGGGTCATACTTCGCCAACAAATGAACCAATTCTAAAAAGGGTCTCTATTTTTATAGCTTCCTTTATCATCCGGGATCTCTTCTCGGTGACCACGAAACGCCATGTTCTGCTTGGGGAGGAATTTGACAATATCCGGTAATCGAGTTAGAACTTCACGCCACTTCTTTGTTTCCTTTTCCATAAATGTTTGCTCGATTTTGTCACTTGCCTGTCCTTTAGCTAGCCGAATCTCAAGTTCCTTCCGGTTAAGGAATGCTTGCGCATGAGATTTACTAGATTCATGTTCGTATACTTTTGGGTTTTAATTTCCACCAGTTCCGGAAACCTTCATCTGTCGAAAAGCTAGACTGTCCCGCCGAAAACAGTTTGTAGCAGAAGCAAAACAGAGATTCTTTGGAAGGAGAATACGCCACCCATTTTCGCAACCTCTGTTCTCCGTTTAGCAAATCACGAAAAAACCAGTTCTTCGTAAGCTTCCTAGCCCCCCCTTTTTATTGGTACCAGGTCGAACTTCTTCTTTGAAGTCACAGTCGATATGTTGCACTGCAGTCGATCCCTCTCGATCAAGTCTAGTGCACACGTCATGGTGGATCGTAATAGGTCACAGACCGACATCCGTAAAATCCGTTGATCGGAGTATCATCGTCCCAGGTAGCGGTTCACTTTCCAATTTTCCCAGTTCCCGCGCATCTTGCGCATTAGTTTCGCAGATAATTCCCGCAGCATCAATGCTGCAAACACCGTCTTCTATCGCCTGGGTATCAGCGTTACCAATAGCAACTGTATTTTTGTCCTCAGCATGTGATTGACTCCTTTCGTTTCTGTCTCTTCGTTAATGGAAACAGGTTCGATGGATCTTAATAAACCACCTTCATTCTTTTTGATCTCCTTTACTCTGGTCTTCTACCTACGGAACGCCGCACCGCTTTCCTACACTCGTTTCTTCAAAGGATGTATATGGAAAGTTCACACAGAATCCGAAAAACGCAGAAAGATGAAAGATATTGACCGCTCAATAATAAGCATGGCACACGAAACAGACATTAAGATAAGGGAAGGGTGTGGCAAAAGAATAGGAAACGTTATACAATCCGTTACTATCGAAATAAACCAACAAAAACCACAAACCGGATCACGATATTGGTACAAGCAACTAGTAACACCAAATCTACCGACCTGAACAAGTTGCGATTTCACGCGAATCCGCGTCAACAGTGTCCAAGTTGTTTCAAATACCCAACGATTATGACACAATAACCCAGCCACCATACGCGTCATTTTATAGGAAAAATAAACCGAGGGGAAACCGCCACAACAAGTTTGGTGACGTGGGGATGTTTCCATAGCACCATCTGCGCACACACTGGTGTTGCGACTGTTAACTAATCGAAACAGTCGGAGGTGCCCGTGTAACACATGTGAGCTTTACCCACACCAGTGTCTAACCATGCTGGTCCGATAGAACAGTGGAACCTACTGGGGGTATAATCGTACGGACGATAGAGCAAAGTACCGTGGACACAGAATCGGACACAATGATTTCAATGCTAGCTGCGTGTTGATACATTTCGTGAGTAAGAACGGAACAGGTACGCGGGATAAACTGCACGTTAATTTTCAATGAAATGGATGATCCTTTGGGTGATGTCAGATTTCTGGTAAATTTTGCACTTCACACCTGATGCCGAGCACTCATTGGTCGGAAACTGCCACCCCCTTGCTACACCTTGTGCATTCGGTATCATCCGCACCGGATGAGAAATGCGGAGCAGTGCGACTCTTGCTTCTTGTCTATTCCAATTCCTTCGGGTTCGACAGTAAATCCATCCTGCTCAACCAGGTGCTGACGGCTGGCATACATACAACTATCTGCAGCTTGATTACAGATTACTTTACAAACCATACCCACTTCATCCAGCTCAACCCATTTTCTGCTGAGGTTTTTAACTTTTCTTCATTTTCACATATGTTATAGAAAATGGTGCAAAAACACTCACATGAAGTTTCGATTTTGCAAATTTAGATTATTTTAGGAAATATGAGGATTTTTCTAACTGTCCTTTTTAAAGGACGCCAGCAAGAAATGACTTCGGAATGTGAGAGGAAACAAAACTGCGTTTTCTGAGCAAATAGCCAATCGTTTGCAGATTTGATGTTACAATGTTTGATATTTCTTTCAAGGAGTTTATGCAGCAGACAGTTGCTCGTTAGGAAAGCATATGAAGCCCACATTTACACAAAAAATGTGTTGTATCCTTCATGCGTGGTATGTCGCAGAGCAGGCCACGTGTAGTGGCACATCACACACTGGGCAGAGTAGATTAGCCTTCTTTCCACAGTGCCGGCATCTTCTTTGTTTCGGCATAGATTCCAAGTGGTGTCCAGAGGAAGATTTCCTGATGCTGTCTTCAACCTTTTGCCATTTTCTGCTGGGTGTAAGAAGATTTTGGGGGACATTATTCTCGGCTAGATATGCCTGCAAGTAGACTTTTACGACAGCTCGTTTGAAGGAAAACATGTCATGTTGCTCTTGTTTATGTGCAGGTGATTTTCTGTACAAAATCCAAACATTGCCTTACCATGTGCTCAACAACAACGTTATCAAAGAAGCGTCCAAATGATTTATACGGTGGAACCTCCTCTTTTAAAATGTCAGATTCACATTCAGACCATTGTTTCTGGGTCTGTGATCCTCTTTCCCCCACCATCTAGATCTGTTCTCCTTTTGGGGTTTTCTTGAAGAAACAACCGTAGGGGCAGCAAGTTCCTTTTGTGAAATCACATTACCACTTGCTGGTTCTTGTTCGCATAGTTCGCCATCCAGGGTGACTGTAATTACGGATGCTACACTGGGTAACTGCCTCGCTGACAGCTTATCAAGAGATTCAGCATCTTGAGTTACTTCATTGATACCATCTTCATCAGCATTTTGTCCATCACCAGGAGGCATAAGGTAAACCTTGGCTCCGAGGACACAGTCGGCTTCTTCTATCATGGTGATGACATCTTGTGCAGAATAAATTTCCAGATTCCTGTAGATGAAAATTGATGTCACCAGATAAAGTATAGTCTACATGCAATTTTAAGAATGACATTGTAAGTAAAATGGAGAAAGCATGTTAATACAATGCAGTTTTTCATGCTTTTATAGTATTAGTTCATAGCCACAGTGGGCGACCTGTGGCACCACAGTCGCGACCAGGTGACAGCTGCTGCCGAGGAGACCATCGGGCGCGCAAACTGTAAGCGGCCTGATTGGTTTGATGACAACAATGTGACGATTGACGCATTGGTGTCAGAGAAGAATGCAGCATTTGCTGCACATGTGGCAGACCCCAGTGACTTGGGGAAGAGTAGTCAGTTTCGCAAACTTCGACGGCGACTGACCCGAGAGCTCCGTCGCATTAAAAATGCATGGTGGACGGAGAAGGCGAAGCAGATGGAATGCTACGCCGAACGCCGTCAACACAAGGAATTCTTTGACTCCTTGAAGGCGGTGTATGGACCGAGATTGGTGCCGCTGAGGACACTGATCGATGGTAGTTCAGACGCTACCTGCACCCAGACTGCAGACATAATGCAGGTCTGGCGGAAACACTTTGACTGTCTCTTG